CGATTTTTATACGCAGAGTATTACATTTTTAATCGTATTACATCCAGGGTGCTTTTAATGATGACAAGGAGCCAACCTAGCACTTTAAAGTTTATGCCCTCCCAAAATATAGTCTAAAACACACACAGTGTTTGAGACGCCACCTAGCAATGTGTACACATGAATGCCATTCAGGAGAAGCTTAGAAATTTAAAATAAATTCAGGCTACAGCCACAGAGCGGCTCACCTAGGATACTGTCCAGCTTCCCTAACGTGCGAGGCGTTTCACCCACACAAGTCTTTTTATTTTTAATGCCATCTTTATCTGCTACGCGATGCATGAAATCTACTTTCGGTTTTAGAACTGCTAGCCACCTTTGACCCCTTTAGTGGAGACACAATGTGACCTTTCTATTGTCATCGGCTTTCATTCTCCTGAAAATTCTATGAATTTTTATTACAAGTTTTTTTTAAAACCAAGCTGAGGCTTCAACAAATTACTTGACGCAGATGAGATGAAGTTGTTGAAGTGGGTGTTAGATAAGTTTTACAGCCGCGCACTGCCGAGGAGGCCGGCCCGTGTCCTGCAATGTCACCCGCCAGTAACTGCTGAGCCTACTATTGGATAAATACATCATTTTATGGAACATTGATTGTTCTATAAACCCAATGGAGTATTATGCTCTATGATCAAACCATTTAGATTGTGTGTAGAGCACAGAAAATGCCATATTCAGGATGGTACTAAAAGTGCCATTTGTGTATTTTATGGATGTCATTACAGGGGAAACTTCTCTCCGTAGGCCCTGTTTACTGCAAAATTTTTTAGTCTGTAATGACATTTTTCATTCACAACGTATGCCTTCAAGAGAGGGGGCCCTTGTTTTATTTGTTTCATTCGAGTTTACTGCACAAATTCTGTACATTTTAATTAAATGTAAGCTTAACAAAAGCATAAGGTATTTATTCTGTGGGAAAAAATGATGACAGTGAGGAGAGAATAGCACACACACAGCCAGGAAGCAGTCAGGGACTGAGCCCTGTCTGCAGCGTCCCAGGGGCACAGCGGGCAGCAGACGGGAGCAGGGTTCGGGGAGGCGCGTGCCACTTAACCCCAGCACCTGCAGGGTGGGGTGTGTGCTGTCAGCCCTGGAGACTGGCTCCTCAACAAGGACGGGCTGGAAGGCGCCAGGCTGCAGGATGAGCTCCGGGAGAGGTGAGCCTGATTAGAAATCACTTCCCAAAGCAGGTTCTCAACCCTCCCAGAACCCGTCCCACTCCCCCTGGGCTGTAAGTGTTCAGTGCGCTTAGTACGAAAAGGGAGGGCAGTACCTCTGCTCTTGTCAAAGCAACTGAGCAGTGTGCTGGAATTTCATAAGCAGGCACTAGGCTGCATTTTAGCTTCATTTGCACCTTCTCCACAAAGCCACGTACTGTCCTGTTGGAAATGGGTCCAAAAAGGACTGCTTCAGACACGCCAGCTATAAGCTGCTATTATTATCCTGAAATCTAACACTGTCTTTGAAAAATGTAAAGTGTAACAGATATTATTTTGGGCATCTGAGATCCATTAAAATGGGTGCAGGTTTGGGGCTATCATGGTGACTGAGCAGGTAAGGACAAACCTGTACGGCATTCCTGTTTTCCAAATACCACGCCCATTGGCCGTTTGCACTGGTGAGCTTTCCAGTTCGTGTTTACTAGAAAGATCTCAGAATTTGAAGTCGATGTGCCCAATGAATTCTCGGGCACCATCCAGTTAGAATTTAAAGTCACAGCAGAGATTCGCATTAGTTTAAATGACACTTGAACCTCCACGTGGCTCAACATTAATTCATTACGGTCAGAATGGACGAATCTTCAGTGGCTGGATCTTTTTCAATCTGATTGAGGCTGTTACATTTTATAGGTGCTATTTTTCAAAGCAGTACTGACAGCACACGCAAAGTTATTAAATTGCTGAATCAAAAGATGGACCTGCACTCACGTTTATGAACTGTGCTGGGACAGCGAGGCTCGAGGGCGAGGTTAGGATGTTGGCATTGCCGAGCCTCAGCATACCACCTGACAGCAGTATTTACCCATGTGGTTTACTGTAATGGTCTAGAGGGGCCTCACCCACTTCCAGATGCAAATAAAATAAGTAGTTCAGGAGGGCACAATCGCCAGAGCTATGAAGGGCCCTGGGTAATTCTGCCCTGAGGGTCTCTGTCCAGTGCAGACTGCGGGGGAGACCACTTGGACCCTGCGTGCACTGGGCGCGAGCATTCCTTCAGAGGCAACTAAGAGTAAGATTTTCATCTGTCCCAACCACAGTAGCTTCTCCTGTTGTCTAATGAAAAGGCAGTATGCTCTCTCCTGTAATTAATTGGGGAGGGGTGATTTGAAGGCTGTCTTCTTTACTTTTGTGTCCATTTTCTTTTCATACTCTAAATTAGTTTGAAAGTGACCTTGAAATTAACTTAAGTGCAGGGTGTAAGGAAGACAGAATGGGCAGGAACAGAGGACCAAGTCCAGCGTATCGTGAAGGTAAGTAGCATGCCCCATCCCAGGAGAGGAGCTGCAGGCTTTCCGGAGCCATCTGGGGAGCCCAGCAGGCCAGGAGCTGGGGGTCCAGTGGACAGCACACAGACCAAGGTCAGCAGTGCCCCGCCCACCCAACCTGGTCTCTGACCTCCAAGGAGAAAGAGTCAGGGAGGGTCAAAGCTGAGAGGATGACAGTGAGCAGCCCTTTCTCGGTAGGATCCAGTGCTTTAACCTGGTCTCATGATTCTTCTGACCCCGAATCTGCCTGAGGCTGGGTGCTTTTTGTCAAGCAGGAGGGTCGGGTAGGGGATCCCTATAGCAGGGCACAACAGGCAGGTCCATGTAAGCATGGGGCTGATTCCCACAAAGCTCTCCTGATGCTCATATAACCTCAAGACAGTCTGCAGAGCCCTAGGGGAGCTGGCTGGTGGCTTCCTTAGTGGTCCTTGTTGTCTTCACTCTGCTAGGTGAGTAAACGAGAAATCAGAGGCTCACTCTAGCTTGTGGAGCCGTTTATTTTTATTTTGTCCAATTACAGTTGACATGCAGTATCTTTTGTATCCATTTCAGGTGTGCAACATAGCAGTTAGATAGTCGTATACTGTAGAAGTGTTTCCCCCAATATTTCTAGTTCCTACCTGCCACCATACATAGTTATTACAATATTACTGACTGTATTTCCTATGTATTTCAACTACCAATCTGTACCCCTCAATCCCATTACCTTTTTCACCCAGTCTCCCACCCCACCCCCACCCTCTGGCAATCACCAGTCCAATCTTGTCTCTATGAGTCTGCTTTTGTTTTGTGTATTTTGTTCTTTAGATTGAATATATGAGTGAAATCATATGGTACTTGTTTTTCTCTGACTGACTTATTTCACTTAGCATAATACTCTCCAGGTCCATCCATGCTGTTGCAAATGGTAGGGTTTTGTTCTTTTATCTGTGGCCATATAGTACTCCATTGTGTAAATGTACCACAGCTTTTTTATCCCCTCACCTACTGATGGGCACTTGAGCTGTTTCCAGATCTTGACTATTATAAATAATGCTGCAGTGAACATAGGAGTGCATATATTCTTTCAAATTAGTGTTTTGAGTTTCTTCAGATATAGTCGCAGAAGTGGAATTGCTGGATCATAAAGCAGTTCCATTTTTAATTTTTTTAGGAAGCTCCATACTGGTTTCCATGGTGGCTGCACCAGTTTGCATTCCCAGCAGCAGTGCATGAGAGTTTCTAGGTGGCCATTTTGCTAGAATCATGGATGTTTTGTCACCTCGGTTGAAGGTTTGATCCCCGCGTCCAGCTGGGGAGCATGCGGGAGGCAACCAGTCGATGTTTCTCTCCTAGATTGATGTTTCTCTCTCTCCCTGCCCCCCTTCCACACTCTCTCTAAAGATCAGTGGAGGTGGGGGTAATGTCCTCGGGTGAGGATTACAAAAAAGCACATTAAAGGGAGTAAAGTGGAATATTTCTACAATGTAGTTGCCACTGAAATATGGAAATAATGGGAATCACTTATAGATCATTCTTATGTAGGAAGGAAGGTGCTGATATTAAGGAAACCAATAGAAATTTTGAGATTTAAAGAAAATAATAGGAACTCTCTTTGAGGAGTCAGTCTCTTTTTTAATGAAAATAAAGATTATAATTTTCATTCATATTTCCAGTTACTAAACATCAGCCTGCATCGTGGATGACACTGGGGAAGGCAAATGTGCACTCACCTGGGCCCCTGCCTGAGGCCTGATATCCCGCCTTGCCTGGCGTTGGCCCTCAGTTCTCTGCCCATTGTCCCAGCTTTGCTTCTGGAACTTCCTGTCCGCAAAGCAGAGTGCAGCCCAAGTCTCCAGCCCTGAGAGCTGGGAGCCCTGCTGCAGCCCCATCCTGTCGGGCCCGGTGGCCCATGGCAGGACAAGCAGGCGGCTTTTCACTGGAGTTTGTGTCTGAAGCATGGTTGCTGCTCAGTAAATACTTGCTGTGTTGTCCTCACGCGGCTGTTTATTGATGGCATATTTTTAGAATCTGATATGCAGGGCTTTCATTCTTTTGGCTGAGTACACAAATATATACCCTGTCTAATATTTGGACATTAAAGGAAGATTTTCCTCTGGGTCCAAAGACACTGCTGCTGACTGTACTGATCTTCACTTCCCTCCAGTGGCTGACAGTCTTAGAAATGACAGCAGGTGAGGGAGCCTGGCTCCCTCCCAGGCACTGGAACGCAAACACAGGTAAGAGTTGTAGGGGGCAGTCAGAGCAGGATGTGGGAAGGGCCTGCGCCTTCACAGCTATATTCGCTCTTGAACCAGGAGCGCCTGCCAGGCCCCTGGGTGGCTGCCTCTGTGGGATCCCAGCCAGGAGAGGACACCGCTCCTGAGCCGGGTTCACAGTGATGTTTCTGTTGAGGTTCAAAAGCATCTGCGGGAGAATTGTTTTACTTTAAAGAATAAACTCATTCGCTGGCTCTAACTAGCCCTGTCTCCCACAGGCATAGTTTCCAAGTCCTACGAATGCCGTTTGAAGGGCCAAGGCGCCACGTTCGTGGAGACGGACAGCCCGTTCACTGCAGCCGCGCTGGCAGAGGAGTCCCCGGTCAAAGACAGGCCCTTGCGCAGTGGCCGGCGGGCAGCGGCAGCGCCCGAGCAGGTGCAGCAGGTCATCATTATCCAGGGCTACGACGGGGAGTTCGCCCTGGATGCCTCCGTTGAGGAGACGGCTGCGGCCACACTGCAGACGTTGGCACTGGCCGGCCAGGTGGCCCGCGTGGTGCACATCACGGAAGACGGCCAGGTCATTGCTGCGAGCCCCAGCGGAGCCCACATGGGCAGTGGGGCGTCGGGGCCCGTACTGCCGGAGCAGATGGCGGAGGAAGCCACCCAGGTGGTGGTGGTGGGGGGCTCAATGGAAGGTCACATGGCCGAGCCCCTCAGCCCTGGTGGTGCGGTGATACAGCAGGTGACCAAGCAGGAGATCCTAGACCTCAGCGAGGGGGCCATCCCCCAGCCTGACCCGGCCTCTGCCCTGGATGCCCTGCTGTGTGCGGTCAGTGAGTTGGGAGGGGCAGATGGCAGGGCTGGGCCTGTGGACAAGGGCAGGGCTGGCCATAGAGATGTGCTGGTCCAGCTGCCCGGGCAGGAGGTGCCTCCCGCTGAGGCCGCCGAGGTCCACGTGTTCCCGGACATGGAGGGGAGCCCAGCCACCATGGAGCCCATGGAGGTCCTGACCCAGGTGGTGCAACCCTCTGCTGTTGTCGCCTCACAGGAGCGTGCCCAGGTGGCCTTCAAAAAGATGGTCCAGGGCGTCCTTCAGTTCGCTGTGTGCGACTCGGCCGCGGCCGGGCAGCTGCTGAAAGAGGGTGTCACCCAGGTCATCGTGAACGAGGAGGGCGCGGTCCACATGCTGGCCCGGGAGGGCTCGCAGATCGTCATGCAGGAGGCGGGGGTCCCCGGGCAGCATGCGGAGCTGGCTGAGCAGGACGGGGAGATCTCACAGATCATTGTCACCGAGGAGCTGGTCCAGGCCATGGTTCGTGAGTCTGGTGGCAACTTTCCGGAGGGCGCAACCCATTATATTGTGACCGAACTGCCCCCCGGGGTGCAGGATGAGACGGCCATGTACTCCCACACTGTGATAGAGACAGCAAACTCGCAGGAGATCCTGCAAGCGGGGGCCATGGTCCCCAGTGGAGCGGAACAGTTGACAAGCATGGTCATTTACACCCAAGAGGGCTCCCCAGCAGCCACAGTCATTCAGAGCCAAAGAGAGAGTCATGAACTCCAGGAAGCCTAAGGCAGAGGTCATGTGTGGAAAGATCAGCACATGTGGACACAGTGGTCCCTGCCCAACAATGAGTGTAGCTCAAAGGAGCACCAGACACACTCTCCGTCCGAGGTTCACACTGCTGCTTAAAAGCGCGCAGTCCCAGGACGCCCCAGTGGAGGGATGAGAGCCGTGCAGCCAGTGGGCCAGCGGCAGAGCTGCACATGGAGGCAGGGCCCTGCACCCCAGATCTGCTCACTGTTCGGTTCTTTTGTTAAAGGTCTTTCCCTCTGTTCTATCTATTGTGCCGAGGAGAATCTGAGTTTTCTTTTCTGCATCACCCCCCCCCCCCACACACACACACATACAAATGTTTTCCCATTTCAGTTCCCAAAGGGCCGTGCCCCACTGGTGGACGTGTAAGCACAGTGTGTTTGTGGCTTGAGACCTGTCTGCTCGGCAACCCAGCATGTAGCCGTTTACACATTTTATTCTATATTCGGTTAAAACTGCAACTGCAAGTATTACTGTCTTGATGTAACCCACCCCTGTTCATTTTGTTGAAATGTGTCCCCAGACCAAAGGAAGCCTGTCATTCATCTCCCGCGTCAGTTTGCTCTCTTCAGACATGGCAGGTGTATTCAGAGCTCTGGTTGCCTTCTGCTTAAAAGAACCTTCTAAAGCCTGCGGTTAAGGAAAGCCTTGGCGTTCATGTTTCATTAAAATGCACCCTGTTTTAGTCAACCCAATGCTTCTAATTTTGACTTCATTTCATATAATAAAGTCTCTATATGAAACACGCACTCTGGAAAATACTGTTCATGCCAATATTTTGCTTTTTATAACACGTTCATATCTATGTCATTGTTGAGGGATTTATTTGTAATTTATGTCAGTGTGAGACTGACGTTAAACATTACCAACAGGAAGCCCCACCTGCAGCCCGCCCTGACCCGCGTTGTCTGTGAGGCTCTGGGTCCACTGTAGCTGTGGAGTGCAAGGTTACGTCCCAGTCATTTGTTTCTTGATAAAATTGCTCTTCTTCCTTTTCCAAAATTGTAAAATAATCCACTTCCCCCATGCACAGGTTGTTTTGTTCTGTTTCTTTTTTCTTTGAAATAAAACTATAGCATTAAAGAGAATGATGATGTTGTATTTCCAGCAGTCAACCAATGGGCACCTGTGAAAAGTAACCAGAGCTCGCGCCTCTGTCTGACACAGGCTTCCCCTCCATCTGCCCACTGTCGGGTGTACTGGCTCCTCACCGGCACCTCCACGGCCTGGTGGGCACAGGACCCAGGCAGGTTCTGGTGACAGTAATGTCTTCTATCATGGTTAATATCTAAAAACTGTGAAGAACAGACATGAGGAAAGGAAGAGAGAATGGTCCCTTTTTAGTTTAATTAGAAGTACCATTTAGAACACCTTTCTGAATGGATTGGGAACAGGGGGATGAGCTTCCCCGAGAAGCCGAGCCCTCTGCCCTGAGAGCCCAACCTTGTCTCTGTGAGTTGGAGTCCTGTCTGTCCTAGGGCCACCGCCCTTTACACAGCCACTCCTCCCCCAAAAAACAAAAGGTAAGATTTCAAGTTCAACACTGAGATTCATAATTAGTTAAGTATGACTTGCTCATGTTCCTTAAAAATGGCAGGGCGAGTCAGTTCTTAAACACTGTTTCCAGCAAACAGTGACAGGATCAACTCCGTTTGTTATCAGGATAAAGGTGACCTTTACAAACTGGTGCCCCTCTCCAGGCTTCTCATACATGTTAATAATAAAAAAAAGTCAGAGAGAGAGAGAGAAAAGAAAAGAGAAAGGAGGGGGCATGTTTTCCACTGGAAATATTTCTTCGTGCTCATCCCTGTTCATGGTAGCTGTGGTCGGCACGATGCTAATTCCTCCCTGTGCTCAGGCCTGTACTGCTAACCTTTCTGCCGCAGTCCAGGCTGTTGACACTGACACGCTGCAGTTTACTGTGTGTGATTTATTTAGGATAAATATGTCTCAGGTGGCATTTAATCCTTCATCAAACCAGTGTAGCCTGCAATGTCAAACCAGCAATCACATTGTACACACAATGAAAAGAGCAGGCCTTTGCATAAAAATAAAACTGTGCAGAAGGTGTTTTGAGGCTCAGAAGGATTGCGACGGATTCAGTGGGCATTGTTTCCTATAATCACCGCTGGAGCTGGGTTAATAGTACGTCTCTTCTCACAGCACGACCATAGGCACAGAAGGGACCAAGGAGCCTACACACAAGCGTGTGCCTTGGAATAATGAAGCGTGGCCGCTATGCTCAGGGCACGGTCACCCAGCACATTTTATCCACGAAGGAAACATGGCCAGGTTACTGCTTTTATTGAACTTTTTGTTGGAGAATATAATAGAACCTTAAAGAAGTAAAAAACAAAGCAAACAAAATATTGCCTTGGAGACTATAATTCAGACAGGCCACCTTGGTGTTAAGCTATATCCAATTAAGTGACTGTACCTCAGGGATGTTTGGCTTGCAAGGAAGACCAGCTGCCCTGCCCAAGTCAACAGAGGCATGGTTTAGATTTAAGGCCCTACGGCGAAAGTTGGCCACTGCTCCCTGTGTATGGTACAGAATTATGGAATGGCAGTTGCCATGAGAAGCAAGTTTTGGCCACATAAGGCCACTTTAATGAGATACTGTGACTCAGGTGTCCTTCTGGTGGCTACAGGCCTTCGTGACCAGTTGGATCTGAGGGAGGAGACACCGAACATCTCCCACCACACCACAAACACACAGGCAGACAGACCCACATCACCTGATAAGTGCAAAGAACATTCTGTATGTGGCTTGGTTTGCTTCAAAAACTAAGCAAAAGTGCTAAGAATGTGTTAGTAGCACTGAAAGCTCCACTGTCATGTATCAGCTCAGTCCTGAAATGTGGATCCTGAATCCCAGAAAAAAAGATGGCTAAGGATCCTTGGTGGATCCAGACTCAGTTACCTCATAGATGTCAGTGGAGAGCCATCGCGGCCCAGGCTGAGTGAGTCATGATAAAGAACCATCAAGGCCCAAGCCTGGCCATGACCACGCCAAAATTCACAGTTCCGACCCACCACTCCCTCTAGAACAGTAGTTCTCAACCTGTGGGTCACAACCCCTTTGGTGGTCGAACAACCCTTTCACAGGGTTCGCCTAAGACCATCCTGCATATCAGATATTTACATTATGATTTATAACAGTAGCAACATTACAGTTATGAAGTAGCAACGAAAATAATTTTATGGTTGGGTCGCAACATGAGGAACTGTATTTAAAGGGCCAGAAGGTTGAGAACCACTGTTCTAGAAACAAGAGCCCCTCTGCCCAGTAGCACAGCGTCTAGAAAATTCTGTGATCATTGAGCAACATTCACATTTCCCAAGTCTGGCAAACTTTGTTTTCCTAAACATAAACTAATTGCATAAGGGAAAACATGGAAGAACCAGCCTAGAATCCTAACCCAGAGTTGGTTGTGGGGAGAGAATTAAGGAACAAGAAAGGCCATTTATTTAGCAAACTAAGAAAAAAGAACTTAAGTTTTCACTTATTTTACTGTTTAATATTAGCCCATAGTTTAAGAGAGCATGGGGCTCACTTAAGCAACCTTCTCCTGTTCCTCTTGGTGAAGAATACAATTCGTTTTGTTCTCCTCGAGGGTGATATCATTTTACATGAAGGAAAAAGTTAGCTCAGATGGCAGTTATAGGTTTCGGAAGCACCTTCTAATCAGGGATTGGTGATTCATTCTTAGCTTCAGCAGGCGATCCATCTGACATGTAAGGGGAAAAATTAGCAGCTGTCACTGCATGACGAGTTAATTTCCTGATAGGCCTGCCACTGAAAAGCCATTTGGAGATGTGGCACCGGCTGATGAGAAAACCTGGCACTGCTTTATAATTGGAGATGAAGAAAGGGCAGAGAAGCAGTCTGGGGAGGGGCCACGGTCCACAAGTGGGTTGGAGGAGTGGTGCTGATGGAACAGAAAGAGAAAACAGGCCCTCAGTGCCCACAGAGGGAGGTCCCAATCAGCGAGGTGCCAACATCTGTTCCAAAGCCCTGAGAAGTTCAGGCATCAATGCCACAGGTAGTGCAGAAGATGGCAGTGGGGTTGGGGCTGAAAAAGGCCCCTCCCTCTACCTGACCTCTGCAGCCAGGCAGGTACCTATCCAAACTTCCTAATCCAAGAGATAACTAGAAGCTTTTTCTTCTGGAGGAATCTAAACAGAAAGGCTCTGGGGCTGCGGACACAGCAAAGAGTCGGGGGAGAGGGAAGAGAGTTGTACCATGTATACAATGTTATTGGAAGAAGTTCTATATACTGACCTCCATAGTCACTCCCCAACTGGGCTCCTGTGCCATGGAAACCAAATATGTGGCCCCTGGTAGAATACTGGAGGGTCTTTTCTGGAGAGACTGCACCACCCTAGCGAGATCTCCACAGATGCATATTTGAGGATTTGCCAGTGAAAAGGCCAGCTGCAGATCTGTCTGTACTGTGGCCGACCACCAAGAAGCCCCACACAGAGCCTCCGCCAGCTTAGTGCCTTACTTAAATATGGGCATAAGGCCCAAACCAACATGAATAAAAAAGATCAAAAATGAATGGGGGCGGAGGAATTCACATTTACAGAAATTTTCAAAAACTGCACTTAGATAATATGTGCTTCCATGAAATAACAAATGTTTGTATTTTAAAAAAAAGGAACAGTAAGAGAACAAGAAAGAACTCCAGGAGATTAAAGTAGATGCTATTTTTTAAAAACTATTTAAAAAATTGGAAGATAAAGTCCTCAGAAAGTAAGACCAAAAGACAAAGAAATGGAATATAGGAGATTTAAAAAAATGATAGTATCGAAGACCCACAACTGACTAAGAGAAAATCTAGGAAGAGAAAACAGGGAAAATAGAAATAAGGAAATTATCAAAGAATTAAGTCAAGAATATTTACCAGACTGAGGGATATGATTTTCCAGTTTGAAAGGACCCATTAAGTATCCAGCAAAATGAATGGGAAGGATCCATGAAATTCCAGAAACCCAGAATAGGCAGAGAAAAATAAAAGAGGTCACACATGGGAAATCAAAATGGAATCAGACTTCTAAAAACAGTCTTGGATACTAAAAGGGAAGAAAAAAAAAAGGAGTATCTTCAAACTCCTAAGGCCGCGGTTCTCAACCTGTGGGTCGCAACCCCTTTGGCGGTCAAACAGCCCTCTCACAGGGGTCGCCTAAGACCATCCTGCATATCAGATATTTACATTATGATTCATAACAGTAACAACATTACAGTTATGAAGTAGCAACGAAAATAATTTTATGGTTGGGTCACAACATGAGGAACGGCATTTAAAGGGCCAGAAGGTTGAGAACCACTGTCCTAAGGGGACATTTTATTATCAAAGAAGAATTCTATATCCTGCTAAACTGTCCCTCAAGTATAATGGTAGAATAAAGACATGGTCAGATACCCAGTCTCTCCATAGATTTACCTCTTAGGTATCCTTCCAAGGGTTATGCTTATTGGAGAAGATAAAGGGAGGCTCTATGAAAAGGAAAAGAGAACTGTTAGATGACTTAGTGATTCATTTGCATAGAAAATATATCATGAAGATTTGAATAGTTTGGAAAGAATGAGTAACCACTTTTTAAAAATGTAAGCCAATAAAAACAGTCAAGTGACATTAATGCCAGAAAAAGTAAACAGGTATATAAGACAGAAGTCAAATCAACTGTGGACAACATTTACAGGGTCATAATATGCACTCTGGAAATTAGTTCCACAAAGACTGTACTATAATTAATCTGGGAGGATAAGGGGGCAGGAGTGGCTAAGAGGAGAGGAAGTACCTCATTCTCATGGGTTCCAATGGGCATTAATAGACAATGTCTCAGGTTTGACACATCAATCTGAGTGTCAGTAAATTGCAAGAGCCATTTCCTGACTAGATGGCAAACTAGCATGGGCTACCACCTCCCTTCCTAGAGAAATGACGGAGCAGGAGTGAGGAAGTTGTAGCAACCCGCTGTCATGGCTGTTTGGAGCTGGGTGTTTGGGTGGAGAGAGGGCTGAGTCTAGGGTGCAGGGCAGCTACAGCCATTGTACGAGGAAAGCTTAGAGGAGAGCAAA